TGTAAAACTGAAACAAAAAAAATAATGTAGCCGAGAAACGCGAGAATTATGTAAAGCTGTTAAACTGAAATGTAACTGGAAACTGCTATTTTTGAATAATGGATATTTGATTTGGTTTAATGGAATATATATATTTTTTGATTTTCTATATTATTTCTATATTTGATTTTCTATATTATTTCTATATTTGATTTTCTATATTAACTATACACATTAAGTAAAAAAATTAAATTATTTGAAATACACATTATTTGAAATATCCATTTGAAATACACAATTTTCTGAAATTTTGAATCTCGAAATTAAAGTAAATATAAAATTGTACGAATTTCTAAATATAATTTCGGTTTTTTGTAAATCAGATACGTCATATGTACAACGACAGCAACATGGTTTCGGTTTTCGAAGAGTTTTTCTTAATTATCCATTTGCAATACACAATTTTCTCAGAATTTGATTCTCGAACATAATGTAAATATAAAATGGTATGTATTTCCGAACATAATTTAGATTTCCTACTAAATCAGATACGTGATATGTTCAATGATAAGTACATGGTTTCGGTTTTCGAACACTTTTTCTAACAAATTATATTCGACAACCGAGTTTTCACTATATACTTAGCCAAAATAGATAGATATTTTAAAAAATATGTATTAAATCAAACAAAACTAACAAATATTTCACGTTTTCATTATTTCAATTATAAACATAATTGATTAAACAATAGCTAAAATATAGAATAATCAAATTAATAAAATAAGTATTTTATATAATAAAATAAGCACGTTTACAACTTTACATAATTTCTTATGGAGAGACAAATTTTGTTCAAAAACCGAATTTCCACCATATATCAGAAAATAAAATATTAATATACGTGTGAACATTGTAACATATTATTTAACGTTAATTTATTATGAAACAAATGATGAATTTTACGTAATATTTTTTAAGAGTAATTAATTTAGTCTGTTTTTGGAGGAAAGGTTTATACTTTAAAAAAAAATTGTTATTTATTTTTTAACATCGGCGCCGGGCGGAAAATGATAAATGCACCTCTTGGAAATACAGTTTATGGAGTATATTTGGCTTCAGGATTTTCGGAAAATATGATTCCTGTTAGGAAATAAAGGGTCCTCGAGTGCGCGCCGGAAATTTTCGGGCTTGAATTTAGTGCTCTGATTTATAAAGCTTAATTAACAAACTTTAGGTATATGTATGTTTCCTCGCCCCCGAACCCTTGCGGCGCTTTTTTTACTCCCTTCCCCATCCATTCTATTTCGCAGTTTGCACTGTTATTTCGCCAATTGAAAGTTGCTCGATTTATTAATGGACGTAAAGCTCAAGTCCTGGAAATTCCCAACAACTCGATAATGCGACGTGCTTTTCAATGTCCAGTGTCCTTAATGCATCAAACATTTTGATATATTGCAAACTGGATTGTGTATCTCTTTAGTGCAAATACACATACACCTAGATGCATCATACATGGTTTACATTTTGGCGCGCAATAGCGAAGCGAGGCACAATGAATTACCACATGAAAGGCACGGTTTTCGCCTTAACTGACATCGCCGATGGTTAGAGTGAACAATGGAAACTTGGGGTGGCCAAAGGATTCCATTACATTTAAACACACTACACACACATAGAGCGGAAGAGCGATGCAACTGAACAATAGGTCATTTTCTTAGCAACTCATGCATCCCTTAATCAATCCGCGCCTCACGAACATGCACAACCATCGGGAGCACAAAGAACACAAAGCTTAATACCCCGTGGAGAATTCATTCTGCAAATCATCGTCTGCCCCAGGAACGAAAACGAGCGGATGAGAGAAAAATAAAGTAAAAAAATATATATATATAAACCCGACGCATCCACACAAATCACCCGACACCTGTTCACGATATTTATTTATAGTGGATAATCCATTATAATATTTATCGTGACAAATTGAATATCGATTGCCATTAAAATATTAAATCACCAGCGTACGTGGCTCCAAATTAATTTACTTTATTATATTGTTTACCGTCATCCATTTGTTTCCACATTGTTGCTCCCCAATTCACGTCACATTACATAACATATTTAACTATAAACCATGTGTTCACTACGCGATACTCGTCAAGTAACTTAACAATTACGTAACTCTTATAATTGTCATAATTACAACAGTAAGAAAATAATATAATAATAATAAATCAGAAATTTTGTAAAACATACCAAATTTTGACGTTACAAAACTATACTATTGAGTGTAAAACCACTCTCCAAGTACCTTATAAATTACATAAGATGAATAATTTAAGGAAATTCGAAGACTACAACTCCACAGAGGCCATGCATACAATTTTGCACAAGCATAGTTCACCTTATGAAAACAGGGCGGATATATCCGCCGCTAGTAAATAATTAAGACCCAGAGTTTTTATTAATATACCAAAAGATGTCGTTACAAATGTACCATTGAAGAGAATACATACATATTGTGCATAATTTAATACTTGAATAAGACATCTTATGTCAAGGCAATATATTTTCAAAAAAGTTAAAAATTATTTAAATGAAATAATATTTGCTTTTGAATTTGTAAGAATATATAATATTTGTATGATTATAGGTAGAAACATAATCCTAATGAATAAAGTATAATAAAAGTTAAGAAATTTTTCAAATCCAATTTATTTCATTAGTTAAAAATATTTAGATTTACTTTACAGAACGAATGTACCTAAAATATATACTTTTTACTTATTATACTTATGAAGTATAATGAGAAATTGAATTATTATTTTATACTATTCTTATGAGTTTAATCATTTACATAATATATCGATGAGACACCTTTATATTTTCAAGTAAAATTGATTTCTAAGACAAATTTCACGGGATGCAATTAAAAGTTTCGTGATTCTAAAAACTTATTATTTTTATCATTCTACTGGTTAGATATACTTGTTACTTAGAAAGTAGTATGTAATATGTAGATTTCTTTAAATAATGTTAAATATAACAGTTAAATATAAACACATTCTATGATAATATGTTTATAGACAAATATTTACGTATCAATTCGTTCTCGTATATTTTCAACAAATTATTTCATATTTCAAATGACCCGAAAAGCAACTCCTATTTTTTTTTTAAATATTTGCTCATGAAAACGACTGCGTCAACAGCGCAATTTTTTCATTATGTTATTTTTTCAGCTTTTCACATTTCATTGGCACCATTTCTATTTTTTATGGTATGATATGACAGTTATTTAAAATAAAAATATGTTTGGAATTTTTTTCAATTCAATTGAAGCTACAATAATATTTATTTCCTGAAAATACAGTTTTTTTTATTGAAAAAATGTAATATTTATACACTGTTTTTGCAATTTGGTAAATTTGCAATAAACGATTTACCTGAAGGTAAATTTATGAATAAAATTTTATCTGTTTTCTCTAAATTAATATTTTTCATATGACGTATTTTTATACCCAAGTTATAATACTTTTTAATTCTAGGTATGTTCTATAAATCAAAAATAAAATTTTCAATGTTTATCTGTAAATAGATACCTTGTAATTGTACATCTTTTGATATAAGTTCTATTACGTATTGTTAATAAATATTAATAATAAAAAATGTATTTTTCCGTGTCGTTACGTTTCCTTTAATTACTCAGTTAATTACGGTTAATTATAATCAAATATGTGATAAAACTTAATAACTTTTGATTTTCGATAGTGTACTGCTTTGTTTAATAAATATAAATGGATTATCCTATTTAAATGTGAAATAGAAGTAGTATCATGTACATGGTATTTGTTACTTGGAAAGTTACTTGTATGATTAATATTCTCTTGTTCAGTAATAAATATTTGTTATGTTGTTATCCAGAATCGTTTTATGAACAGTATTGTATATATAAAAGTAGTTCAAGAATTCGTTTTAAAAATTGGCGTACTTTGTGTATGTCATAAAACGTCTTCGAAGGGATTGCAGGTTTTAGGGTACGTTTAAATACATCGGACACAGCAGGATTTATGTAAAGAAATATGTGCAGCAATAAGAATATAAATGTTCCGGCTGAAAATACGTAGGCTATCTGTACCTGCGTGTTATACAGCCGCATCCTTATGCGCGCGGAATAAATAGAGGTTGGATTGATCGTGCGATTTTGAATGTCCGGTTTTATTATGTACACGGGTGTGCAACATACACAGACACACACGGTTGGGATGAGTGGAGTAAGAGGAGGAGACGAAGGAAGGTAGGAGATGCAGAGATAGGAAGATACTAAGGGTGGCACGGAAGAAAGATAGATAGATAGATAGATGAGTAAGGGGGGGAGATAGGTGGTGGATGCCATCGCCCGCTTTTCTGGGGCTTTGTACGTCCGTGGCTGGGATGGTCTCGCTTTATGCCCCATAAATCTAACATGAGTGGCTGTATTGAAACTTGGTCAGGATAGAACCTGCAGATATATCAATACCTGAAGGCCCAAAGGGACGATATCTGAACTACTTATATGCATACACCGAAAGCCAGTCCTTTTTCTCCCTTCTCGACAACAAACAAACGCTTGGCTTCCGTTTGATCCTTTTTACAAAGTGTTACACACCTTTGCTGCGCTCTCTCCATCCGCCCTATTTATATCGCCTCAAAGGAGATTGCCTTTAATGAATTGGCCCCGGTCCCAACCAACATCAAGGCCATAGCGAGAAGCACGTTTCGATTTAATCCTAAGAATTTAGCCAAATTAACTACAATTAAGATAGATATTTTTTGCGTGCTTACCGTCGGGGTTAATTGCACTGTTTGCGGGGAATTAAATGGGGGCGGTTTTGCGTACGTGCTTTATAATAACGACTGCGTTGGGGGGGGATTCTCCTCAACAATGGTAGTTTGTTGTGAGAGACATTGTTGAGGGTGAACAGGTAGTGAAACTATTGCAAGTAGTTCTAAGTGCTCAGGTTAAGTGGTTATTGTTGTTTCAGGTGACAGGCATTGTGGGCCGAGCTGACGTCTTGGCTTCTGTGTTCTTCCTCATTTCGCTGCTGGCATATCACGGGTAAATATACACAACATATTTCGCAACGACTCCAACATTTCCTGGAGATGGTTACACCACTCCGACGAACATCCAGAACATCCAGATGCATTTTTATCGCTGCCACTTACTGTGCTCCTGCTGCTTTCTTGTTACAACTTCAACTACAACACTTCTCTCCTGCCATACTCGACCTCATCACAACTACAACTATTCCACATTTTATACCAATAATCCAGTTCATAACATCTTTTTCTTGAAATCCTATAAACTCGCCAACAAATAACTTGTTAACTTTAATGAATTTACTTCTCTAATTGCTAACAACTAAGTGCAAGGAAAGGAACGAATAATATAACCAAACAATATTTTATAATCATTTTATCACAAAAAATATGTAAGAAATTCTGAAAACCTATAAATTTTAAATAAATTTCATTGAAAAGAAATATCAAAAATATATCTAAATGTACAGTTATACATAAAATGAGAGAGAAATATAAGGATTTTAAATAAATTTTACATCTTTATAATTGATTTATATTGATTAATAAATAAATTAGTATTGTCAATTATTGTATGGGGTCACGTCTCTCCGAAATTAACGACGGTTGACGAAGGATCAAGGTTACATGGGATGAGCAACGTAAACTACATCTGGATTGTGTCCTCTCTACAGATATAAATTAGTTCCCTTGAATAACCACCTGCACCTCGAATTATCCCATTAAGCCCAGTTGTCCGACTATGGGATTCAATCAAAATTCTACCAGAAAGTAGTAAAATCTTTAGTATTTTTCATATAAAATATTAATCTAATTAAGTACTTTATAAATATTACAATTCTTATTCATATTTAATTTATATACAAATTTAAATTCAAGAAAAACAAAATTAATGTTAACATAATAAAAATGTTGTTATAAAGGAAAAATTAAGTAATATAAACATGAATTGTTTACAAAAGAATTTTACATGCAAAAGTAATTTGAAGAAGGAACAAGTATAATTATAAAGAATGAAAACATGATGAAAATGATAAATAACTGTAGGAAAAGTCTGCGTTAATTGAGTAATTAAAATAAGTAAATCTCATCAATTTGAAGAAGAAAGTTATGCGCAACATAATTTTTTCTGACTCAGAAGCATATGAAAAACATGTTTGAGGATTCCCCTTGAAGCATGAAATATTTATATTAATTTGTGGAAAACCGCAATTAACACGATGTACTTTTTAAGTATGAGGACACGCAATTATTCAAAACATGTTTTATAACTGTACTTAAAAAATATCTCATATTTTTTTATTAAATAGATTATGTCACAATGTCAAAAAACAATGATTTTTAAATTTGTATCAATGTTATGTAAAACATCTCAAAAACCAAATCTTCAAATATTTAATAAATAAATAATTGATGAAGATGCAATTAAGATAAATAAGAAATTAATAAATATAAGATAAAATACAGATAAAATGTACTATATTTGACCAAGTACACTTGGTTCTCCTTTTATGCGGTAGATACGTTCCACAGGAAAACGCATAAAAATAGATCGCACAAAAATAAAGAATACGTTCCATAATTTTTTAAAACCGCATAAAACTAAATTAATCAGTTACAATATACCGAAAATCGCATAAAAAAGGGTTTATTAAATTTCAGAAAAATAATTAGTCTTACTATATTCTTTCTGAAATGTTTATTCATAATTTTATAAAAACGTTAACAAAACAAGTTTATTAAATTTCAGAAATATATGATCTTAACATATTCCTTCTAAATTTATACGGAAAAATTTACAAAAAAAAATACAGAAAATGTTTATGAAATCTTTCTTCACATTTTTTTCTTTAGAATTATCGTCGCTATATGAGAGTGTTCGGCATAATATTCGAACTGGCTCAAAATCACTTTCATCACTAGAAGAGATAGTCAGCATATCAGATCTATGTCCTGAAGATAATGATTCTTCATAAGTAAAATTAGTCTCAACTTCGCATGTTGATTTTTTCCCTTTGACAATATAATCAGTGATTAAACTTTGCGATGGCTTTGATATTTGTTTGTACAATTCCTGATATCCAGAAATGCATTTCTGAAGCTCGCGTTGAAACTTGAATGCTCAGAATGTTCAGAGTTATCATCTTTTTCGATGAAATGGTTTGCCAATTTGTGTCAAAATGGCATAAAATAGTTATTTAAAAAAATGCTTCTTGAAATAAAAACCGCATAAAAAGAGGACCGAGTGTATAAGACTCATCTTTTTCGAAGATAGTGAAATACAATTATGACAGTAAATGCAAACTGTAACAGTGATAATGAATGACAAGTAACAGTTAATAACAACTATGACAGTAAATAAAACTGTGTTAATATGAGTGAGTGGCAAGTAACAATGATAATAAAAGACAAGTGTGACAATGAATGAAATCTGTGATAGTCAATATGAATTACAAGTGATAATGACAGTTTATGACAACTGTGTCAGTGCCTGTGAATGGTAATAAAACAACTGTGACAATGATAGGGAATGACAACTTTTATGGGCAAAAATAAATTGCATGGTATAAGAATTGAGATTGAAAGTAAACAATATAGGACAGTGACAGTGTATAATGAAAGTGACAGTGGTAGTGAAATACAACTATGTCAATAAATGATAATTGTGACAATCTATGACAAATGTAAGAGTGAGATTGAATGACAAGTGACAGTTACTGACACTTGTCACAGTGACAGTTAATGACTACTGTAACAATGACGTTGAATAATGGTATTCAAAATATACTTTATTGAAATATAATATATGAAAATTGCCTAACCAATTATTTGTTATGTATTGAGTATTGAATGAGAGACTATACTAAACCAAAGCAACAAAATGTAAATTAACATCCATGGTGGCACAATTTTCGGCCGTTCAATGACAGTTCCGTATTGATTGAGGTTGAATGGGATCTTCGGCCGGAGATACCACTAAAATGGCACATTGTAGGCGAATTGAATCCGGGCAATTTGAACTCGGATACAAATCGGGACGAAACTCATTTCGGTATTTCGCGTTCAATCAATATTCGCCAATCCGAAATTGAAAATTTTAAAACAATGAAATACTGTCTATTCGTATATAATAAAGAACGCCACGTTCTCACTTGGAAATAATAAATATTGGCATGTTACCAACTTGAATACATAAAAGATTTCCAACAAATCAAATTCGATAATGCATGACAAAACTTTCATTCATAAAAAATATTCAACTGCAAAAGATTAATAATAGTAATAGTTCTAATATCAATATAAACTAACATGAATTTCACGCTCTGATTTGGAAATAATACATTTAATATTTGTATAAAAATAAAATTTTCTGTTTTTGTATTAGATATTAAAAAGTCGTATAGTTCTGTATTATTCTTAACATTTTATGCAAGTTGTTATAATAGTAATATTTATTTGAATTTCCAAAATATCATTGATTTCTGTTTGAAGTGTAAAGAATAGAAGGGTTTTTACATGGAACAACTAAACATTATCATGTTGCAAAGTTGAATGGATGAAAGTTTCCGAACAAATCATACTTGATAATGCATGATATAACTTTCATTCAACGGAAGATTGATTGCTTCGAGAAGTGACGAACTTTATCCGACTGTTTCGTCCAACCCCCTCATCCAAAATGAAACAAAAGCAACAGTTGAGTTGCCGAACTATTAATTTCTATCTAACTTAGATTTAATGCGAATCGTCGAAAATTACATTTACATAATATCCGTTCACGCTAATTTATACTAATTACCTATGTATCAAACTCGAACAGGACACATCACTAATTGTTATATAATTAATAACACTCCTTATTACGAGTCCGGTACTGGATTTAATTAAATCCATTTGAATAATAGCCCGATTCTTATAACAAAACCAAACGAGAAGGCGATGAAATTTCCATCTGAATGTGATACAAATTAATTACGCAATTAATCAGGGTGGAGGCAATGCATTAATCGCCGCTCATATTTATCATTCATAACGTCACGAAAGGACAAATTTATTTCGGAAAAGGACTTGACTGATGATGACTATACACTTTCACTGCTTTTGTTAATGTTCTATATGTATATATTTTTTTGACGTTGCTGTTGCATAATTCATTCGGCGGATGTCGTCACATTTGGAAATCATCCAGGTTTCATTGGCCGTAATGGATTTCGGTAATCATATCAGTGCGATGCAGCTCCATGTTGCATTGACAGTTTAATTGCATTGGTATGGTCAGCTATAGAGGATTGCTTTAACTAGTTGCCAGACAAGGCTATTGAATTTCAAATCTTAAACGCTTCATTTCGTATTATGGACGTATTCAAATTATTTGTAAGCACTTTGTAATTATTTGTAATGGACTTTTACATTAATTCTATTTTAAAACTATCAATTTTTAAATATTATCCACAAAATGTTTTAATTCGAAAGTTTGGATGCGTTTGTTAATATTGTTATTTATAAATCACAATATTAATTTTATTCGTAAAGTTAATAATAAAATATTCAAATATATTTTCAAAACTTTACATATCGGACAATCGCACAAAAAGAAAAATTTGGTTTATTTCTAAAATTTCCGGTATGTGAGGTATTGCTGTATATGCAATTAACCTACAATTATTAACAGTATATTTAAACGAAGACATAAGATAAACATTGTTTTAAAATGATGATCGCAATTGGTTAGTTTGTAAGTAGAAAGTTACATAAGCGAGGATACTGGAGGTCGGCGGAAGCAATTAGTCTTGGAAATAATTGAAAATCTTTAATATCCGGAGAGAAGACAGAGAAATATACGACGACGGCCGCAATAACATATATATTTTACTTCCCCACTAAATCTGTATTTTTATACAAAAGAATATAAAAAAAGCAGGAAGAACGGAACGAAGAAACCGTTCGTAAGGGTGCGGGAGTTTGGATAAATAGTAGTAGAAAAGGGCTGCGATTTTATATCTCAATAAAGCTAAA